TGGCAGGGGTGGTCTTTGGCAATTGCCGAGCCCTAGACTATGTACTGGCAAGTGAAGGAGGGGTTTGTGCAGTCATAAAACATGCTACACGTATATTAATGTCTCAAGAGAAGTAAAAGTAAATGTTAAAGAAATTCATAAACAGGCTTCCTGGCTCCACAGGTACAACCAAGGAAAACAGGAATGGACTGAGACCCTTAAGGGATGGTTTCCAGAATATACCTGGCTTCTTCCATTTCTAAGCCCCACAGCCACCATATTTCTTATCTTTCTTTTTGATCCTTGTATTTTTAACTACCTAGTAAAATTTCTATCCTCTAAAATACAACTTCAACTTCAAATAATGGTCCAACAAGGATTCCAACCCATCCCACCTGAAGATAAAAACCATCAACATCACTGGACAAGGCCTCTGCTTCCTTCTACTCCCCACTCTCCATCCCCGCGACAACTAACAACCCCGAGACCCCTACCTCTGACAGACAGCAAGGAGATCTGGGCCCACAGGTAGGGACTACATCCATGTTCAGCTTGAAGCAGTTACAGAAGACTGACCATCATCCCTTTTCTCCTTAAAAGATTTTAAGGGTCCAGACTCCTTGAGGGGGAAATGTTAGAGCAGGCAGATAGCTAGATAAGAGCAGAGAAGGGGACACAGACCAAATGGCAGGAATTGGCCAGGAAGGAGGGGCACAAGCCAAAGGCAGGAAACCATACATCATGTAAACACCAGGGGTCCCTCGGCAGAGAAAGGAAAGCAGGAACCTTTGAGCTGATAAGGGGTCACACCTCTTGGGGTGATGAGTGGCCTGGAGACAAAGAAAGGTGAGAAAAGGCAGGAATTTCCAATGCTCATTATGCCCTCATTTCAATAAAATTAGCCTTGCAAATTAGAAGTACCCATCATGCACCAATGCCGTGACACTTCCGATTCAGACTAAATAAGGACAAAAATCCCTCCTCTCTTTGGGAAGGTGCAGTTGGGATGATAATCAGGGAATAGAACCCCAAACCCTTCCCTCCCCAATGAATATTCTGCCCATTCACTTTTACACCCTATGTAGCTAACTTGCACAGGGCAGCCTCACCTGAGTCTACCCACTCTCCTCTTGAGACTATACTATCCATCCTTTAATAAATCCCTACTTTACTTTTTTAACCACTACGACTTGGGTTACAACAAAGTGACAAAAGATTTCAAAAGCAAACACAGATTACTCAGAAGGCAAGGACGTTCACACAATCTGTTATCAAAAGCAGCACTCTACGTAAACTTGTCCTCTTAACAGAGAGGAACCAAATCTAGTCCTGCACCAGCCTACTTCTAATAACAAAATCCATTTACCTGATTAAGTTTGATCTAATCTTAGCCAGACCACACACACAGCTCCTTCCTCAGGGCTCCCCTTCCACAACTTTCTAGATCCCTATTAGTCTGGCCCTCATTTTTTTTTTTTTCATCCAGAAAGAACCCAGATTTAGGACAAAATCATTTTTTCCCTCTTAACAAGATTCAATTCCATTTTTTAATACCTTCCTAAACATACTTTCCTACTGTAGACTGAAATATTTTTAGTAGTTTTAATGACATGTTTCATTAGAATTTCAACTCTTAAAAAACTTCATTTCCAGTGAAATCCAGTAAGTACACAATTATGAACTTTTACATTAGCATTCTGTAGGTTAGCAAACAAATAAAAATAATATTTTCTATGAAAAGCACATATTTTTAGAAATTATCTCAGGGTAAAACCATTCCTCTATAGTCCTAAATACTCTCAGGTTCTCTGCAAACAGAAGCCAATGTTCAGCAATCAATGATTCAGTATCTTACTTTGTTTTGGAATGACCTAGCCATTCAATAAACCTCCATCATTTCACGTCAGGTTACCAAATATCCGGAGAGATCACTTCTAAGTAGTCATTACCAAAACACAACCATTTCCAAAGAGTTCACCCAAAAGCTCCCATCTCATTTGCATCCAATCCACCTAGAAGAATTTACATCATACCAAGTAAATTTTTTTTCTTTCTGCTGACAAACTGCAACAGAAACATAAACCTACTAACCTTCAGTAAACCTAGGTACAAGAAAAGACATGTCTGCATGGATTATACGAGCAATCTTTAGCTAGCTTTAAGATCAGATACTAATTTAATATTGAGTATTTTCTGGATCACATGAACCTGAAATTTGTCCTGTCTAGCTTCTTTTATACTTAGACGTATTGAATTTGCAAGTGTTACCAAGTCCAAACTCATTCTGCTCACCAGGCCAATATATGGGGATGTGGGGTGTTGAGACAAGATGAATTCAGGCTTCTTTTATACTAAACGGGGAAGGGGTAAAGGCCTGGTCCTAGCCAGACTCGAGGGAAGGAGTTAATTTCTTCCTTCCTGCAACTATTTACAGTTGATCCTGGTCAGGTGAACCATTTACTTTGTGAGCTAAACAAAGGTATTTTAGCTTAATGCTCATTACCTGGGAGGCAGGGCTCCCAGAGACGGGCCATTATGTTTAATTTAACCTATAGGCAACATCTGTGATTAACAAGCAATACAAAGGTTAAAGTAAAGGAAACAGATCTAATACAGGATCAGATTTGTTTTTCCCTATTATGCAAGTGCTTACGTTTAAGTCAATTAAATACAGCTCTTTTACCATTAATTTTTACACAAAGACAGAATCAGAGATCTCACCGTTTTTCACCTAGAGTTTAAAAAAACTTTTTTCCCTTGAGAGCCCAAGTAGATTATTTACATCACAAAGGCACAGAAAGAGAAACGCAAATTCCTCTGCTAACTACTTTTATACAACCCAATCATCTTGACTATTTTCATGGATTGTTTTTCCTCCTAGTTTCCAAACATCCACTTCAGTTTAAAGAAATAATAGTAATAAACGATAAAATACGTATTATTCACACATGGCTCACTTTCAGCAAAATCAGGAAGAGAACAGGACTTGCACTCAGGTACTGAGACACACACCCACCCACTCAAGATGAAAACAGAAGCAATGGCAAAAGGCCCACTTGATGTAAAAACAAAGCCATTAGGGGCCATTGCTGGCCAGATCTCAGGGAGTCCTGAACCCACACAGTGTTACCATAAAAAAAACTCATTTTCCTGCATTGTTGGGAGCATAGCTGAAGATCTCCCTGTTTTGCAAAATATCCCTAGGAGGACTACAAGATGGAACGGAGCTCTGATCGTCTGTACTTAACTTTCACAGCCAATGTCATCAAATACCTAGCCACAAAATGGTCTCTCAGGGTCACAGTTCCCTAGCCCCCAAAAGGGAGATCCCCAACTAATGCCCCACTGGAGAGGAAGCTGAATGAATGGCCAAGGCCAGTTAAGGGAAAATCCCAACCAATGCTCAGCTACTGCTGAGCCCAGTGCACCAGGGAAAGATACCCTGGTATTGTCACATGTGGGCTCTGCTACTCAAAGATGTCTCAACAAGCCAATGCAGGTGCTGATACACACACACACACACACACACACACACACACACACACACACACACACACACACACACACACACGAAAGCAACAAACATGGTCCGACAAAGGACCAGACAAGGTATAGCCCCAAATTCCACTTCCACTCCCAGAGTGGCCTAGCTCTCCAAAGAGAACGGACCCCGAGTGGCTCCCAATGAGCCCAGGCACTTCCTAGAAGGCAATGAATCCAGGTGAAGCAAGTAGAATTTTCCCGTCCTGCCCAGCCGGAGTGGCTCACAGCACAACCACACACACAAAACCACAAACAACAAGTAAGCTATGGTCGCACAGAGATACTCCACTTCCACTCCCAGACAGAGGCCTCCAAACCGATGGGCCCAGCTCTCGAAAGACAACAGACCCAGAGTGGATGCAATGAGCCCACTGCGGTGAGGGAAGCCCCAGCCCGCACAAGCTAGAGTGACTCACCCTCAGGCGAGGCGGAGTGTGGACGCAGCTCCAGAAGATTCTCAGCTCCAAACAGCCTCGGCCGGGGCGGCGAGAGAAGGGGCTGCCCCGGGCCGGAGTTGACCTGAACAGGCACAGACCCCTGTGCGGCGTCACCAAAATCGTTACTGAACGCAAAATTCACGTGCCTGCTGCAACGTGAGGCCAAACAAACCGAAATGTTAGTTTGCAACTGGAAAAAACTTTACAAAGCCGGGCACGGAGAGCAAACGCTTCCTGCCTCAAAATCCCCGGAAACCGGAAGCGCTTCGCTTGAGCCCTTTTAACGGCTCAGCTGAGGGTGGGCCCTCCCAGGCACGTGACCTGCTCTTCCGCAATTCTCTGATTGGTTGAATTTGAGGCAACACAGCTGTTAACATTATCAACCCTCAAGCACCAGAAGGCCTGAGGGCCACGTGCTCATGATTAACAAGTAGTTGATAATTCTTCTTTCTCTCTCCTCTGACTGTGAGTTGAGTAGAAAATGCCGGGTAATTAATTCTTTGCCCCAGCTTGTGTATCTACAAAGTGGAACAGCCATAAATAAATTTCTCTATGTAAAACAACTCATACAAAACTCGAACACAATTGTTTACACCTTCTTTCCACCCCAGGACAGTTCTGAGGTTGCACTCAAACCTACTGTGAGTTTTCACAGCCTCAGCCAAGGAGGGACCCCGAAACGGGCAGACTGCCCAGGACACCTCTCAAAGGGACTGGAAACATTCTGCAGCAATCCGGAAGAGCTCACATTCTGCTTAAACCCAGGAAATTTTTTTCCCCTAATTTTTCTTCTGGACTCTACCCTTCCTGTTCTCGTGTCCTCATGTGCTGCACCCGTGCGGTCTCACTGCGTGTGACGACGGGAACGTGGGAAGGGCAACAGAAAAGAGACTAGGTAGATTCTCCTTCCCTTCTCTATTTTCCTATTTTTTTTCTTTTACAAAATGAGCTCGTATGTTTACACAATGAGAGAAAAATCTCATGTCAATAGTGAGCTCTCAAAACTGCAACCCATAAATAACAACAAAAAACCTAGAGACATACTTGTTTAGGGTTTTATTGATGACAATTGCTAAAAACCCAAATACTTCTCTACATGATTTCTTAGACAAGTCAAGAGTTTCTAAGCCAAGAGTCGGTATGCTTTTAGTATAAATAGAAAGCTTTCTGGAGTCTGTGATCTGGCCACAATGCTGTGGTTAGTGCTGAAGGCTCAGGGGTCGAATGTGCCTTTTTCTCTCCAGCTTATCAGAGGAGAGTGCGCAGACGTCAGGTGACCGCTGTTGTGCGGTCCCTACAAAACAGTCACCGGGGAGTTTCCGAGACGGGACTTGGTGGTTCAGGAGGATTACTGCCACTTACTGAAGTCTCAGGAGACAGAATAAAACCAGATCAAAACTGGAAATATTTTCACCTGGGACACATCAGTCTATAATAATGAGACTTCATCTCTCTGACGTTCATGAGCAAAAATTATTCTGTAGAAGTGACTTTTCCATACAATGAGAAATGCTTTCCAACTTTTAAAGGCCATTTTTGATGTAAATGTGCCTGAGTGCACAACACAGTTTCCTTTTTAGATGGGGCCATGGTTCTCAGATTTGTCTATTTCAGGGCATGGACTGGACACTGGGAGTTTAAATGCTCCCAGGTGGTTCTAAGGGCGGCAAGGTAGAGGGCACTGAGGTACAGCTACTGTGAACAAAGTGATGTTCGAGAACAAGGCTGTCTCCACGTCCCTGAGGGTACCAGGCACTCGGGGCGGAAACAGCCTGCTGATGACTGATCCCAGGAAGGGCGGCTCTACTGTAAGACAGCGACCATGACTGGGGCCGAGCTGGAGACTGACCTGTAGGGATTCAGGAACAGACTCAGGGCTGCAGGGCTGCCCTCGAGTGTGCTCACTCTTGTTCCAGCCTTGATCACTGAAGTTTTCTGACACCAAAGAGCCCTTGGATGAGACATCCAGGTCTGACTGATGCATGCATTTTAAAGCCATGTGACCTTATTATACCTGGCCCTCTGGTGAAGCTGGAGATACTGATAAGATGGCAGCTCAAGACAGCAGAAGACCTTTCTCATGCCTGATTTACTTATAGGGACGTTAGTAGCATGAAAAACAACTTAAAAAAAAAAAGACATCTCCAGCTGATGTCCCAAGTGAGTGTTTAAGCGTCTTTAAAGATGTCTGTACAAATCCACCCAAAGAAAGTTTCCTGAAGTCCATGGTCTCAGAGAAGCACAGATGTTGGAACAGGAAGGGTTCCTTGCACTTCAGGGATGACCTTGACTTACTTATTGCAGTTAAAAAAAAAAGACAAGACAGGTGACCTTCCCACGGTGGATGATGCTGTATCGTAAATATGGCGTCTTCAGTGACAAGATGCTCTGTTTGAGATACATCCATTTTAGAAAACTTATGCACAGATCATTTAAAATTGATTTTAAGTCATATTGATGGTTTTTCCTAGAAAGAGTTGGTCATCATGTCCAAATAGAAGCTTCAGTCTGTGCGGACAAGGTTTCACATCCATCCTCCTGGAGGCTCTGACAGCTGGTCCATCCACTGAGACGGCGGGGCAGGGGCTGTCTGCAGCGAAGCCCCATGTCACCCCGCCAAAGTTGGTTTGAGGTGGCAAACTGTATGTTGGGGCAATTTTTGGTTTGTTTTTCTTTTTGTTGGGGGGGATTTGGTTTATTTATTTATTTAGTTAGTTTAATGGTGGCACTGGGGATTGAACCCAGGACCGCATGCATGCTAAGCATGCGCTCTACCACTGAGCTATACCCTCCCCTTAAATTGGGGCAACTTTTGTAGAGAGGACTAGTCCTGGACCCACTGTGAGGGAGCTCGGATTAGGGAAAAGTGACCCCCTTGGTGAGCCCCGAACAAAGGCCTTCTTTCTTCACGGCCAGTCGGTCCCCTTAGTGAAGGAGAACACAGGGGTTGCCTATTCAATGTGGCTGAAAATAAGAGAACTAATTGTGTACTGATGACATTCAGATTTGTCATCTCAGGCCCTTACAATACAACTGCCCTGTATAGTTTGAGATCTCTACAGGAAAACAAACATTGCTCACATTTTATTCCATAAAAATTATAGTCACATTTCAGCTCACAGTGTGGCCTAGTTCTAGGACCTTCCTAGAGCCAAGCAATTGTCTTAAGACCGCCTGGAGAACCCTGCCTCTTTGGTGATGGTTGGGGGGCGGGCATCTGGGTGTGACCCCAAGGGGAGGGGGAAGGAGAGGGACGGCTTGGCGAGCAGGGTCGGGGTTCCTCTTGAGGGACTCAGCTCCCTCCACACCCTCCTAATCCTTTATAGACTCAGCAAGATGATGGGCTGAAGGCTTCCCGAGTCACTGTCTCAGACAGCAGCAGAGGCGGCTCCGCCTGGACCTGGCAGCTGACGGGGTCTCTGGGAGGCCCGGCTGTCAGGCCCCAGGGACTGTGTCTCCCCGTTTGAGGCACCGTGTGATGAAAGTCCCCAGGGCCACCAGAGGGATGCACATGGTGGAGGAAGCCACGAGTAGCCCGATGATGGCCAGTGCATACGGTGGGTAATCCTTGGTCACAAGCTGGCCCTGAAAGGAGAACCTGAGTGTCAGCACAAAGAATCTCCCGCCCAAAACCTTCTGAGGGCACTGCGTGCCCCAGGCCTTGGGCCTCCAGTGGGGGGAAGACAGCACTGGAGGCTGGGCGTCCTTGTGCCCGGGGCCGCTCCAGCTCTGCACGCAGGTCACTAGTGCGTCTACTGTTCCCCCCTCACTTCCTCATTCTCTTCCATGACCTTCAACCAGCGTGTGTGGAGCTCCTGTTTGGAGCTACTCCACAGACCAACCACAGGAATAATCAGGGGGCCTTCTGTTCCAGACACCAGTTGGGCACCGAAATGCAGGGGCTGCGCTTGCCCGATGCCGCCTGATAGAACTTTCCATGATGGGAGGAACGCTGCCCAATATTGCAGCCATCAGATATGGGAGGCCACGCAGCCCTGGGGTCTGGCAGTGAGACTCAACAACTGAATTTGCAATTTTAATTTAATGAATGTAGATTTCAATAGCCACTTGTGGTTATTAGCTACCATGTCGAATAACACAACTCTGGTCTCAAGAAAAGACTTGATGGGCCCCGGGACTCAGCTGGTAGAATGATGGACGTTTCCCTAGATGCAAAACTGATGAGAAACCAAACGAGGCCAAAAAGGCAATAAATGCCAGCTTTCCATGGAGGACCCAGGGGACAGCTCTGTCCAGGGAGCAGGTGTTTGCTGTCAATCCAAGTGAGGTCTGCAAACCAAAATGCCACACAGAGTGGCTGGTGTGGGGGAACCAGCCCACCAACTTTTTATTGCTGGTCTGTTACTCTCTGTGTTCTCTGTGACAAGGACAGAAATTGGGAGGAAACATTTGGAAACTATTTTAGCAATTTGACAGCATAATCCTGTATCCTCTGATTCTGATAGGTATTTGGCGCTTGTATTTAATAAATGTTCTTTCAAGTAAATCACTGTGACTGCATTTTTCCAAAGTATCAGTTTGTTGTGGAATGGAGCAAACACCCGGTTCCTTCCCTGCGGGGTGGGAAGCCCTGATCGGCACCCACCGCTGCTGGAACCAGACCTGGGGGCCCTCCCGGCCTCCCTGCAGCTGTGTGGGGCTGGAGCCCCAGGCTCTCGCACCTGTCTGCACACTCCACACATACCATATGCTACAAGGCAGCATCTTCCACTCACGGAGGAAGAAATGCAAACTGGCCGGTAGGATTCCTTTCCTCAAAAAGTAACTGTCCTATGAAAGCGTGTGTGTGCAAGGAGTCAGGGCTGACTCTCAGGGAGGCTCTGATACAGCCACCCTGGCTGTCCCAATCCTGACCTGGTGCCCTCTGCTGGGTGAGCAGATGCTGCCCGGCCCCCATCTGTCTTTTCCGTCCCAGCCACACCCGGACCGGACCCTCCCAGGATCCAGCAATTCAAGTGTTGATGCCAGCTCCTGCCTCACCCAGCTCCGCAGGTGCCTTCCAGGGGTCAGGGGTAAGGGGACATGCCCTCCAGGCTTGCTGGGTCTCCTCTCAGTGGCCTCAGGGGACGGAGGTCAGAGGCGGCTGGCTGAGGGTCACGGGCAGCCGGGAAGCTCTGCAGGGAGTCTCGCTCCCTCTTCACTGCGGCACATGTGAAAAACTCCCGACCCAGCTCTGCTGTCTGGGCTGAGTGTTTTTAAACACCTGGCTGATGTGTCCACATTGTGACAAACAACCTACCCACACCCTCGGGAGAGCTCCTGGGCTTCAGAAAACTGAAGGCCCCAGACAGCAGGTACCTCGGAGGCGTCCCAGGCCTGGTAGCGCAGGGTCCCGGTCATGATGTAGTCGCTCAGGTAGAAGACAAAGAGGCTGACGATGAGCAGCGGGCTCACGCCGGCCCACATGGCCTTCCAGTACCAGCTGAGCTTGCGGCCAGTCATGGCCCGAAGGTCGCTTTCAAATCTATTTGGATATCGGGGAAAGTCTGGATTATCCATGCTGTTGGAGCCGGGGTTCCAGCCCTCATGTCCCCGTCTGCATAGGAGGATTCTGTTCCGGGCACCACTGAGGTTTGCACATGACCACTGGGCCCTGTGACTCCTTCTGGGGAGTGGGGTGCTGGGCCTTGGGAGGGGAGGGGGCTGAGGCCGCCCCAGAGGGGACGAGGCAACCACCCGCAGATAAGTGGACGTCAGAGGACATCCTCCTGGTGCTGGCCTTGGGATGGAGGCTGCAGGTGTAGACGTGGGAACAGAAGGCCTGCCAGGACACCTGTGACTCCATCCTCAACACCAGGGGACCCTGAGGGCAGCCCTGCCCCACCCCTCCCACCCTGCTGTCTATCAGCGACTCTCCTGCTGAAAGGTCCCAAGAGGGGAATCTCATTTGTTTCAGAGACCTGGGCAGGCTTCCTGGGGTGGGTGGGGGTGGTTCAAACCTGGGACCAGAATCACCTTCGCTCAGGCCCGTTGGCGCTGGTGTGGAGCAGTGCTTCCCAAATGCAGGAGCCCGCAGACCCCCACTGTGATTTCCATCACGTCTGTGGACTGTCTCTTTTCACTTTTCTTTTAAATGGATTCTTTCTCCTGAGTTTAGCAATAGCACAACAGCATGCACTTTATGGATTTCTATCCATGGACTTGATTGGCTAATCACATGTTTCTCTAATACACACACACGATTAGGGAAGGTATCTCCAGCACTTTGGGAAACGCTGACCCAGCCATCGCCCCATTTCACAGAGGAGGGACCGAAGCCCGGGGTGCCTGAGGGCACCCAGGTAGTGGCAGACCCAGGGCCAGAACCTGGATTGGTGTCCTACCTCCAGTCCAAGGCCTTTGAAACCGCTCCCCAGGGCGGGAGAGGCAGCTGTGGAGGAGGGGTTGGGGTGGGGGTGAGGCTGTCCAGGTGGCAACCACAGTCCCAGCCTCTCCAGGACCTACCCTGTGTCCTGAGTTCCCATATCACCACCTGCCCCCGTGCTGCCACTGACCTAGCGGGGCCCTGGGCTCTAGGCCACCATTGCATAGTGGACACGGGATTCTCAAAACTGCACATGGCAGAAAGTGCTGCATTATCTAGTCGCTTTACATCCCCTGCCCCCTGCTTCCTGGAGATAAGAGGCTTGAAGAGAGGGCTGCAGAAGAAAAGGGAGCGTGGTACTGCTGCCGTGTGGCCACCAGATGGCGCTGTATCCCTATAAAATACCCAGAGAACTTTATTTCTGTCCCAACTTCCACCTCTTACCACCCACCTCGCAGCTGTGGGGGGACTGGAGCCCCTCTCCAGCACCTCCAGGGGCCCTAGGTTCTCTCTCCCCAGCCTCCTGTCTTTCCCCCGAAACACCCATCCTCTCCGGTGCCTGTTATACTGGCATTTCCTAGGAGAACAATTACTCCCAGTTTACCCAGGACTTCCCCAGGTTTAGCGCTGAAAGTTCCACATCCCGGGAAAGCTCTCAGTCTGGGAAAATGGGGACAGCTGTTCACTCTAACACTAGTGTCCTCACGATGTTAGTAGCTTGGCAGGGCAAAGGGCTTTCCTTGATCACAGAAGTTTTAGAAATGCTGCAAATTATAACCTCCTCTTTGAGATTCACAGTTGCCTTTAAGGCTCTGAGAAGACCTCCGGGAAAGAAATCTGGACTTTGTTTAACTTGTGAATTCTGGGCCCCCCGCCTCCCCCATCTGCTCAATCAACCTAGGAGTGGAGCGCCTGGTGGCTCTGCCATGAAGTCAAGCTTGAAAACTGCTTTAAATCAGTGGTTCTCAGCCCAGCTGCAGGTCCATCACTAGGGAGATTTAATTACTTCGTAATTAAAAAATTACTTCCAGTGCTGCCCTGTGCACCAGGACTGGGGACTCAGCTACCTGAATTTGGCAAATTTTCTAAGGCCTGAGTTATTAACTCTACTTTAATCAGTTGACTTGAAAAATACTAACGTTGGCCATGATTAGTGTATCTAGTGCCTGGAGGCACGATTCCCTGCCCAGGGAAGGTGTTGGGGTCCAGCAGGGGCAAGAGGAAAAGGTTCTATACTAAAAGATAAAAATACAGAAAATAGAGAAGATATTAGCTGAAGGCAGACTGAGGGTGGAATTGAGGCCCAGAATTAGCTGAGATTCGGGGGCAGAGAAAAAAACTTGGAAAAACTTAAGGGTAAAGAGAAAAGTGAAACGCACACTGGGAACCAACTGTTCTTGTGGGACGGGGCTTCGTGGGTGGGATTCCCTTGCAGCTGTCGGGGCGGGCCTCCTCACCTCCTCAGCCCGTACAGGTAACACACGGCGACCGTCTCCACCAGGACGATCAGCAGCAGGGACAGCGTGGCCGCATAGTCGTTGAAGATGTCGAACCAGTAGTTGCCGGCCTCCGTGGTGAACACCATGCCGATGGCGCAGTTGACGAAGCACACCAGACCTGGGGCGCGAGACCACCTGCTCACCTGCCTGAGACCCCTGCCTGTTCATCCCGTTTCCTACGGGGCCGAGCCAGGGACTCCAAGGAGGTTCTGACCATTTGAGTCATCCTCGTGGGTTGGAAGAGCTGCTGTGGACTGGCCTCTCTGCACGTGTGTGCCACGTGTGTGGGTTGTGGGGCATGGGGCAAAGGTGTTCCAAGGAGTGACCGCAGGAATCGCTGATGTTAATTCATAGAGAAGGCCACCAGGTGGCAGCAAACTAAGGAACTGAGGAAGTTGCAGGCGCTGCTGTCAGGAGGTTCTCACCCAGGCTGTGTCTGGTGATGTTACCTCAACAAGTCAGTCCCTGAGCTCATGGGAGGTGAATCAGAGGAGATTTGAGCTGCACGGTGCCCCTCTCAAGACTGCCTAAAGAGGACTCGCTCACATCTGAGTACAAGAGGAAGTAGGGAGGGGAAGGGAAGAAACGTTCACCCAGCTCCCTCTGCACCCCAGGCACTTGCCATTCATTGGATCCTTCAGCCTTTGAGGCAGGTTTCAGTAGCTACCTTTTACAGACAGAAAGCCAATGCTCAGAGATGTCGGGTAATTTTCCCAACATCCCACAGCACGTAAGAAGCAGAGTTGGGATTCAGACTCAGGCCCTTCTGCCTCCAGAACCTGGGTTCTTGTCCTAGTCTCCGCTGCCTCCCTTGGACACCCCACCAAGTATTTAACTCTAACGCTCCCACCTGCCCTGCCCTTTCCACTGCCACACCCTCGACCACCAGCCCCCGAGCCCCACTGACATCCTGAGGGAGATACACAAGGAGAACAGGCTATATGCTGGTGCGGGGCTGAAGGCACACATAATGCTGGCTCCTGAGGCCAGGAGCAAGGAGGGTGCTAAGTGCCAGAAGGCTCTGCTGGGAGCTGGGTTGACTTGGGCGGGGAAAGGGATGTCCTGGATGTGGTGGAATGGTGTCACTAAAGGCAGGGGTGTGGTCACAGTGTCCTCCAGACACTGGCAGGTTAGAGAGAAGCAGATGGGTGGTGGAGTGAAACAGGGAAAGGCAGGCTTGGAAAAACAGGTTCTTTCCCTAACAACACAAATGTCCACCAACAGCAGAATGGGTAGGTAAACTGTGGTGGGCGGTTTTACGATGGATTATTACACAAACAGAAGAGAGACTGATGACTGCTACTTGCAACATGGGTGGATCTCACAGACACAGTCTGAGTGGAGACAACAGACACAAAGAGGAACTGGGTGACTTCACTATATGAAAATTCAGAACAGGAAAAACAAACCTAAAATGGTAGCTCTCGGAACAGAGGTGACTCCTGGGGTGAGGGGGGTACTGACTGGGGATGGAGTGAGAAGGGGCCCCCCAGGGAGCAGGAAATGCTCTGTACCTTGATCTAGGTGGTGGTTCATTGGGTTTGAGCTTAAGAAATGTACACAGTGTAACTGTTATACTTCAATTCACGCAAACAAAGACAGGAGTGGGTTCTCTGCTGGCCCGGAGAGCTTCGAGTGCCAGCTTGGGGAGTCTGGCCTCTGCCCAACGTTGGGGTGGCCACTCCACTTCCCTATGACGTGGAGAACCAGATGCTTGGGGGAATCACAGGCACCAGGCCCCAGATGGCCCGAAGTGGACCAAAGCCAGGGCAGAACCCCTGGGAGGTTTCCGCTGCCCCCAGGGGCCACTTCAGTAACCACATGGCCCCTGAGGAGACTCCTCCCTCCACTCACCTCCCCGACTCCACTGCCCTGCGGGCTGGTCCCTCACCTGAGATGGCCTCCTTGGGCAGGTAGCTGGAGATGGCCTTGCTGTCGGTCAGAGGGGTGAGGATGGCGGCCGTGTTCCCCAGCATGCTCCCGATGCCCAGCATCAGCAGCATGAAGAAGTAGAGCACAGACCACAGCTGGGACACCTCCATGTTTTTGATGGCCTCGGTGTAGACGATGAAAGCCAGCCCGGTGCCCTGGACAGCCTGCCCACGGGGAGAAGGTACCAGTTACACACCCAGGGGGCCTGGGGCTCCTGAAACACCCCTGCTGCTAAGTCACTCGGGGGCCCTCAGAATGGGCCCTGAGAATACGCAGCCCCTCAGGTGGAGCTGGGCTAGACGGGCACATGGGCTATCATGGAGCCCGTATCTGCAAAGTGGGAGAAGACAATCAGTCAGCAGGGAACACTGAGTTCTCCTCTCCTGCCCCAACTCGCACCAATTCTGAATCAAATATAATAAAACCACATATGTACAAATTCTGCTTCCCGTATCAGGACCGACGGGGTGCTCTGAGGCCTAGTGGCTAAGAGCTGAGGGGAGATGGTGGAGCCAGAATGGTGGGGAGTGGGCCTGGCCACCGGGCCACAGTGCTGCTAGTGGCCTGATTCATGCCATGGTAGCGCTGTTGTGGAGAGACTGAGCTGTGGACCCAGAGCCTGGAACTCCTGCCTGAGGAGGTTGATAGGGGTCATGGGTGGGGCGCGCCCCCTGGTGGCCAGCAGAAGCAGCAGCAGGAGAAACACTGGGAAAGCTTCCATTGCAGATCTAAAGGGGTCACCTACAAGACCAAGAGGACCGAGCAGTGGGAGTGCAAACAGAGTTTTACAAACCCATGAGAAGACAGGCCACTATGAGTGAAGAGTCATCAGGAGTAAGAACTAAGATTCAGAACACCCTTCCCCTAGGATGGCAGGTGCTGGATTGTCAGATTCGAAATACAGGTCAGCTCAATGCCACACCAGTGAGGACAGCGGGATTCATCTGCCCTGGGCACAGACCTAAGGGAGTGATCATTTATCCAGACTTTAAAACCAAAGGTGGCCTGTTTATTATTATTATCATGACCTGGCAATTCTAAATAGTTTCAGTGATAAAACACTCCCTTGCCCGTGGTCAACACTGGAACAGCTACATAGGATGTGTTTAAAGAAACAAAAGGTAAAATTACAAAGATAAACATATAACAAGAAACTCCTGGAATGAAAAGCAAATTTGAAAAAAAGAGTATCTAAAAAAATAATTGAATTAAAAGGCTCAATTGACAGTTAATACCACCTGCAGCTGAAGACAGAATTCATGAGCTGGGCAACACATCCCAGGAATGAATCATAATGAAGCAAAAAAAAAAAAAAAAAGTAAGATGGGAGAGAAAATAGACATGGAGGGCAGGATGAGAAGGTCACCAGAGGTCTAAATGAAATTCAAAAGGAGAAAAAAGGAGAGGCAATGATTAAGAGATAAGAGGCTTGAATTTTCCAAAACTGATAAGATACATGGATCCAGGAAGTCCAAACTCACCCAAGACTAGACTGGATAAACAAAAACACTTCCATTCTCAGATTGCAGAGGCCAAAACAAAGGGCAGGTGATGAGGAAGCCAGAGAGAAAGAACTTGGGTAACTAAGTGCTTACAAAGAATGAAAGAGTATTTCAAAGCAACAGTGAAAGAAACACAAGGCAGATAAATTCAGAGTGTGGAGAAAAAATATCTGTTAACCTGGAGTTTTCTACTTAGGGTAAAACTGTCTTTAATAAGTGAGGGCTAAACATAAATATTTACATACAGACAAAACCTGAGAAATTTCACCATCCAGAAAACTGCTGCAAAGGAATTTATTTTAAGGGAGAACCCTGCCCCCCCACCCCTCCCCTACTCCCAAGCAAGAAAGCTTTCTTTTGCAAAAAAAACCCAACAATGGTAGAAATTGGGGGGAAAATTGATAGCAGTTACAATACCAACAAAACAATAAGGTACCTAGACATCAAGGTGCAAACGTGCCAGAATATTCATGGAGAAAATCAGTTGAAGAATATAAAAGAAGACCCCAGTAACTGATAAGATAAAGCCTGTTCCTGAATCAAGTGATAATTCAAAAAATATTATTTCTCCTCAAATTACATTATAAAATCAACGCAATTGGAATAAACAATTATTAAAGGGATTTTTTTCGATGGAACTTGTCAAATTGACCCAAAAATTAATATGAAAAATAAAGGTCCCAGCATAGCAAATTCTGTAAAATATAAATAAGGGTGATTTTAATAGCAAGAAATTTTTTTTTAAAAACCCAATGTCTATTAGTAAGGGAATGGATAAATAAATAGTGGTATATTTGGGTGATGAAATAAAAATGCAGTTTTTGAAATGAATGCGAGTCCACCTGTATCACTATAGTCCGATCTCAAAAATAAAATGTTGAATAAGAAAGATCTCTCCCAAGACCACTTGTTTCCACTTAAAAACTGCCAACAAAAGCAGTGATATTACTCACGAATAAATATGGGTAAAAAAGATGTCAGAATGAGGGTTCTGGCATCTGGTGAGCAGGGAAAGCTCTGGGGCCAGTAGCAAAGGGGACTTTAACTTTGTCCCCAAATGTTCTTTTCTTTTATATACAAAAACCTGAGTCCAAAATGACAAAATGTTTACAGTTGTTCACTCTGAGGGGTGGTTATATGGTTATTATGTTATTCTTTGTACTTTCCTCTGTTTTGAAAATTTAAAAAGAGAAAAGTTCAAGGAAGAAAGGACACAGGGGCCCCAAAGGAACTCGGCAGTGACTAGGATTCCTGCGCGGCACCCGGGAGAGTGGTGGGCAGGGCGCTCCCGTCTCCTAAGAGGCACAGCAAAGAGAATTCAGAGCTGTCCTTGATTTTCCTGGGACGTATCCCTCAGGGTGCAGCTCTCAAAGGCCCCTGGAGAGAAGCAAGCCGAGACTTCGCCAGCACCTTACCGTGTCGAGCTCCGTTTCCAAGCTGCAGTTTTTAATTTGTGGGAACACCTCGTTGTATTTGCTCGGATAGGCAGATGCTAGGTAGCCCTTCACCTGTTCCAGGTTGCTGGCTGTCAAAAAGCCATCTTCAAGGTCGAAAGAGTTGGTCAGCAGCAGAATCACCCTGCAGAGCAGAGGGTCAGACTGACCTTCGCTGATTACAAAGGCCGTTGTCGCCAAACCCTCTGTCTCTTCTTTCTGATTTAGGAGAGGTGGTTCCAACAAAGGGGATCTGTTGACTGGTGAGCTTTCAAAGGGTAGGGCGATTCTGAATGGCTTTGAGGAAGCCTCAAATAGGAATAGTGGTGACCAAAGGAACCAAACCCATGCAGCTGGGCGATTTTAACCTCTGGACCAGCGCTGTCCAGGAGAACTCCCTGTGATAATGGAAACGTGCTACATCAGTGCTGTCCTGTACCGTGTCCACGACCCACATGTGGCAACCAGGCGCTCGAGCAAGGCTAGAGCAAGTGAGGAGCTGATGTGAATTAATTTACATTGAAATGGAAAGCAATTTAAATCAAAATTTGTATCAATTTAACTAACATTTTAACTAATTTTAAATCAACTTACATTTCAATTGTAAGCAGCCCCTTGTGGCTAGTGACTACTGCTCTGGACGGCGTACCTTCTGGATGATGTTTCTGCTATTTGGGGCAAGGGGCAGCAGGAAGTAGGTTCTGCAATCTCCACGGCTCGGCTGGAGAGCTCTAGGGGAGCTGGGGCAGAAGAACCTAAGGTGTGTGTGTTGAATGCCCTATTGTGCAAACTGCTTTGAACACAGGCACTGCCCTCACCCCTGCCTCAGGCTCGGCAGCTGCAGGTGGTGTGGATTTGAACCCTGGATCCCGGACGGCAGGGCTGGCGCTCTCAGCCCCACAGCCCTGGCCTTCTGGCGCCTGCCTCTTCGCAGGGGCCCCTTCGGCCCAGAGCTCTGGAGGCTCACTGCCCCACTTGAGAGGCTGGGGCCCACCGGGTGGCCCAGACTTACTTGTTCAAACAGCTTTCGTAGTTGAAGGTGGCCTTGAAGCCATAGATGGAGAAGGTGACGACGCTGGCAAAGATGGAGGTGGAGCTGTTGAGGAGGGACACGATGATGGCGTGCTTCTGGCAGTCGTTGGAGGGCTCGTTGTAGCTGGCGAAGGCGATGAGGCTGCCGAAGCCCAGGCCGAGCGAGAAAAAGATCTGGGTGGCGGCGTTGATCCAGGCCTTGGGGTTGGCCAGCTGCTCCATCTGGAGAGCCAAAGGGACGAGCTGGCGAACTCTCAGATCAGCAAGGGTGGGAGGCCGAGAGGGAAGGGGCTGGTCCCCGGCACACAGCCGCTGGAGCCCAGCTCTCCTGGTCCCCACTGGTGCCCTGCCCGGCCCTTGGCAGATAAAACACAGCCTCCTGCCATCCCTCCACTGCCCCCTCCCCACAGGGGGTGTGCAGTTGAAAAGTGCAGGGTAAGGTAACTTCGGAAGGTGTTGAGCCCCCGATCTGTGACCCAGGCACTGCGTGGGTCTGGGCCTCCAGAGACGGAGGTGCTGGGGCCTAGGTCTGGGCTGTACCCCAGCACTGATACTCGGGGGCATCTGGAATGTGATGGGGGCATTAATGTGGGGAAGGGGGCGCTGCCACAGTCATACTGTTTCCAGGGACTGGATTTGCTAAATGAAGAACTTGTCCTGCCCCAAAGGCAACAGTGGCCCCTTAACGAGCAACAGCCATGGGGTGAATGGGGAGGGACCACAGAGAGCCCCGTGGAGTGTGGATTAACCCCTGTAAGGAAAGGGTGGCATGGAGGAGCGAGCAGGAGGGTGAGATGACTGGACTGATGCTCCTGGTGAACAACTCAGTCCACAGGCTGGAGGGAGGGTTCCAGGTGAGACTCGGGACAGGAGGCCAGACGTGGGGCTGGGGTAGCAGTTGGCTGGGGGGCAGTGAGGACAAGGAGGGTGGATGGAAGATTTAATGCCCCAGAATTAACAGGGCGTGGGGACTGCCTGGTGGGCTCACACCCACATCCCTGGGTGCACTAGGGCTTCCACCCACCTTTCGTGCACCCCCTTCCACCCATCCTGGAAGGTAGCAGAATGAAGGGGGCGCCCCTACCTTGGGAGTGAACATGTACACCAGCCCATTGGTGGCTCCATGGAGCGTGAGGCCCCTGATCAGGTAGATGAGGAGCACGCAGTAGGGCAGCGACGCAGTGAAGTACACCACCTGTGGGCACCAGAGGGTGGAGTCAGCCTCCTGGAGACGTGGTGACCACAGGGCCCTTTGGCCCAGGACAGACCCGCCGTCCCCACACAACACCACCGTGCCGTCTTGGCTGTTCAGGCTCCTGACAGCTGGAAAGGTATTGAGATTCTTGGTCAGACGCAGGTTCTGGGTTTGGGAAACTGGGTGGTGGGATGCAGATGCCCATGTCTGTGACCACCCGGAAATCTCTTATTCAGTGGAGAAGAGGGAACAGGTACTGAGGCCACGGTCCCCCACCCTCCCTTCAACCTGACCTTATTCCAGAAAGGATTTGAGGGCCGCCCACAAAAACATATCTATCACATTAACGTTTTAAAACTGCCAGATAAAGAAATTTGTATAAAAAGAAAATGGGGACAATCCAGTAAGATGAACCTAAAGAAATAAGTTCACGGAATATGTGTGTGAAGAGCTGCCAAGTTTCTAAGCCAGATTCATTTCTGAGCTTCCCAGTGGCCCAGGCAAAGCAGGAAGCACAATCACTTACAAGAGTTATATTGTCTCTGAAAAGAAAAAAAACATCTAAGGGCTTGGAGGAAGGTCAGGTATCCCCAGGGCTGGGGCCTGAGAGAAGCTGGCTCATGAGTGCTGGAAAGGAAAAGAAGTGGTATTTGCTGTCTCTATAATGAATACAATAGAAACACAATGATTTTTATGAAAAGTTTCACTTCCACAGGCTTTCAAACTGCACATCAATGGAATTTTTTATCAACTAAATCCTTTCCTGCTGACATGCGTCCTGGGTTCAGGGATGTTTTATCTTTGGTTTTCACAGTGGCTTTGGAAGTAGCTCCTCATACTCTGAGTAATTTTAACATTTATAAAACCTCACAAAGGAGGCCTTCAAGTGCATGGATGCCCATCCAGGCCTGGAACTTTTTTTTCTGTATATCAACTCTTATGTGTACCAGAGCCCCTTATGTAAAGCAAAGAAATATTATTTGCAAGTTTTCTTTTGTTTGTTTTGGTGAAAGCAGTTCCCTTAGTGTTTGGGAAACATAGCTGGTGACCTATGTCCAGCATGAGCTACACTCGGCCCTCCATCCCCCCTGAGGTGTGGTGCCATCTTCCCATGAGTTTCCAAGGCTACCGGCATGGTGCTCTGTGCCCTTTCACCCTGGGGATGGAGGGCAGACGTGGGGTGTGTCTTCTCTGAATGCCTCTAAGCTGAAGTCATTGTGACTTGAGGAGAGTAATAAATCCACCTGAGATTGCAAGAAAATGAACCAGGTTCGAGATGAAAATGGATAAGAGGAAGTGAGAGGCATCTGGCCAGTGAGCTGAAGGAAGTCAAGGGACAGCAGGGGAGGGGTGACCAGTGTCCCTAACCAGTGGACACTGAGAAGACACTTAGAACAAGTCCTTGGAACCCCCCACCTTCCCCTCAGGTGAATGAGTTTCCTGGAAGGCCCTCTGGAATTGAGATCAGGCTGGCTCACTTCTGCCCTGTCAGGCAGGATTGCTGGACATGTGATCTGGCCTAAACTATTAGGAAAAGCTATTTATGACCAATCCGAAAGAAAAATCTTGGAGGGGAAAAAAGATTCCAACAGAGGAGACCAGGATATGGCGTTCATTCTGCCTTTACCAAAATTAATCCCCATAAATAGAGCTGTTGGGGCACTTCTGCCATGGAGAGGGGTGTGGCTTAAGCAGAGGAAACAGACAATAAGAATAAATAAGTTCTCAAGGCATGACATGGCCTCATTTAACAAGGTTCTGAATGATCTGGAAAAGGGATGGCCTCATTAAATCTCCAAGCTTGCAGATGTTGCCCTCAGATCTTTTGGATCATGGTCATAATAACGTGTCAAAGACAAACTGCAAAAACTTTTTTATAAACATAAAATGTCAGCCAAGCTTCAAAATGGGACAGAATGAGTTGCCGCAGGCTCTAAACTTTCCCAGGGAAGATTCGCTAGTCCCTCAGCTTGGCTGTGGGATGAGGTGCTGTTGGGGCTCAGATGCTGGCCATCGTGGGGTCTTGGAAACCAAAAGATGTCCTACCAGGCATGGTTCTGGGGTGTCACAGGGCACCTGAGGTACCATGGGCAGTTCTGGGCTTGAAGCCTCAAGACAAACATATGGGGCTGGAGGAAACAACTCAGGCGGTCCAGAGGGGTAGGACAGGTGGGCTCTTCAAACCTTCCGCAGGGAAAAGTTGGGATTGATTAAGTCATAAAAAGTGCGGGGAGAGCAAACGGGTTGGTCTCTTGGGCAAAGCTGGGTCTGCCCGCCTCTGCTCTCACTACTTGGTGCCCTTGGGTAGGTCACTTTACCTCTCTGAGCCTCAGGCCAGTGGGGCAATGAAATCTACTATGAAAGGTTGTTGCAAGATTGCAACAGTGTATACATCCATCCCATGGTGGATGGTGGATCAGCTGTGAGGAGTGACGAGTATGAGCGGGGCATGCCGGGGACCAGGGGTGTCTGCGGCAGCTTGAGAAAGACGGCAGGTGATGGAGACACTCCAGGGCAACCTTCTACGTGGAGAAGGTTAAAGAAATGTTTAGCCCCATCAGGAGTATAAGCCTGGGGATGCACCAAGAAGAAAAGGTTTTAAATCAGGCCTGACAGCTCTGCAGGGTCATTGAAAGCAGTTAGACCAAGGGTTCTCAAATTCGGCCGCAAAACAGAATCACCTGGAGAGCTTTTAAAATCCCCGTGCTGAGGTTGCACCGCAGGCTAATCACTTCGGAACCTTTGAGGGGGCACTGAGACATCAGAGTTTTAAAAGCTCTCCCGGTGGTACCAGTGTGCAGCTGAGTTTGAGAGCAAGGGTGTCTCAGGGACGTCGGCCATCATTAAAAGTTTTTAAAGAAGAGAAAACTGTCCAGTTGCTTGGTGCCCCTTTGACACTATGGGTTTAGGGCTGGGACAGAAATGCTCATCTTTCTATATACTGGGAAAGTCCTTTTTTCGAGATTTAGGGTTGCAACTTCAAGCACTGCTGGCCACCTCTATAGGTGCTAGCAGGTGATTTGTGCCAGCATCACTGTCCGTGCCCTCCTCCCCAGCGTGGCTTCTGCCCCTCGACTGCAGAGGGCAGCCGGGGCAGAGGCCCTCCCGCGCGCTGCCGCCCCACCTTGCCAGTGGACTCGGTGCCCCGCAGGATGCACAGGTACACCAGGAGCCAGGCCAGGATGAGGCACAGCGCCGGCTCCCACTGCACCGCCCCGTTTTCCTGGATGGACGGCGAGATGTTGAGGGTTTTCCGGTACCAGAAGTACTGTGTCGAGGTCGCCTTCTCGCATTCCTCGTCATAGCCCGTGCGGTTGCCATTCACTGGGCAGACAGACCACGGCAGGGGATCCTTTGGGATCAAAACAAGCATTATCCACAAAGGTGAGGGCTGAGGCCACAGGTCAGGGTGGGGAAGAAGGGAGGTGGCCCTGATGGGAGGTTCTTAGAAGAGAAGGACACTGGTCCCCAAAGGCCAGGCGGCTGAAGCGCCTGAAGACAGGGAATCGGAGGGTTTGTTGCGGGCATAGGTGGGGCTTGGGAAGAGGAGAGAGGCTGGAAGGGGCTCCACATGCTTTGCAGTGTTTGTTGAAAACTACTGAACTCTACAGTGGGTCTGAGAGACTGAATCAAAGGGACCATTGATGACAAATGAACTCTGATCCACGACCTCTGCAGCAGGCAGCCCAGAAACTCAAAACACAGCACCTGCAGCAATCGGCCCAGAGTGGTCAGAACTTGATCACTGACTGTGGCTTTCCTAACTTGTGTTCCCTCCAACTTAGGACCAAAGGGAAAGAGCCAAATATGCTCCCCTAATCAGTCACACGCGTAGCCCACCTATGGTCTCCATGCCAACAACCTCCAGTCAGGGCACACCCACAGCCTTCCATCTGCCCACCAACACGATTTCCCACTCCTCTGAATGCCTTGGAGTCTCCGCCAAATGCAAATTATGGAGCTGACTCCCTTGTTATAGCAGCTCAGAATAAACAGCCTCTGCTGGTTCTCATTTGGGTGGTTTTTGTTTATTTCCACAAGCCCCTAGCAACTCCTCACATGGATAAGACTTGGGTCCTGCCCTCACTGACTGGTGCTGGAGACAGGCATTTCCTAGGACAGGCATTGGGTTTGGAAGTTAGAGGGGGGTGCGGTTCAGCCCCTCTGCAGCCATCTTCTGCATCTAGGACAGAGATAACTGATGACTTCCTTTGAGCCTGAGTCAAGCTACATCTGAAGCAGTTCCACTCCTGGACTTTGTGGATGGAGTCAGTAAGAGCCTCTTCTGCTTCCGCTAGTTTGAAAAGAGTTCTCCATCACTTAGGAACAAAAGAGCCTAAATGTGTACAGTGAACATGACCCAGGGCCAAGCACTAAAGAGAAGTACCCAGCTGGGTAGGGGAGAGTGGATTAAATTCTGGCTTGGAGGGAGATGGGGGTTAGGGAACCCAACTTTGCTCTGTCAAGAACAGCTCCACGTTAATCAGTTTCCCAGCTCAGACTTCATTAGACAAAAACCCTCCACTGACAGAATCAAGTCCAACCCCACTGGGTTCAATCCCTGTATTTCACAGGAAACAGCATTGAGCCCCAGTGGCATTCCCTGATGGGCCAGGGCCACACTGCCAGTGAGCAGCTGGAGCCCAGATTTGTCACCTGGAAAGTACCTGGAACCTGTGCTGGTGGGACTCCTGGCAGCAATCAAGGGACCCTCACCCACTGGAATGGAGAGCCAGATTCAAGCTTTGACCCCAAATGTTTCCAGAGGTGACCACCAGCAGTTCCTCCCTTCAAGAGGTGGCATCCACTGACCCGCCTCGTGAACCTGGGCTGGCCTGTGTCTTGCTTTGACCAACAGAATGCAGTGAAGTGAAACTGTGTGACTTCCTGGCCTCAGCATGAGGCCTTGAAGCTGTCATTTTCACCTTCTTGGACACCAGCTGGCATGTAAAGACATCTGGGCTAGACCGCTGAGGAGGGCTCCTGGGGAGAACGCCCAGGTGGAGGGAACTGAGGTGCCTGCAGACTACCAGCACTGAGCCCCAGTCCTTGGGAGAGTCCCTGTGGACCTAAAGCCCAGAAGACAGCCCCCGGGCCAGCTGCCCGGCTTCTGCAGGACTGACTGGGTCCATTCACTGGACAGTTGCTGTTGCCTGCCCGGCCCAGCCTGGTTCCCAGCCTGTACGTGACTCAGTCAGCTGCGACAGAAGCTTTAAAAATACAATGCCCAGGCTTTTACCGTGCTCCTCCCTGCCACCCCCTGCCAGTGACTCAGGTTTCACTGGCCTGGGCTGGGGACTGGGCACTGGAGTTTTAAAAGCTCCTTTGGCTGATTCCAGCACAAAACCAGCATGGAGAAGTTTTAAAGTACAAAGGACTTGTTCAGTTGACCAATTCCCAGAACCTAGCGTCTCCGGCTCTGAATCAGTGGGTCAGGCTGGGATCCCGGCACCTGCATTTCTAACAGCTGGTGCTCCTGCAGGGAAAGGCTGAACACGAGGCTGGAAAGCCCAGCCTGGAGGAGGGATGGACAAGAGCAAAGACCCTGAGGCCAGGATGTCTGCATCGAATTTCCCAGCTACTTAACTCCCCTCTGCCTCCGGTACTCAGTGCATCAGCATCATGGGGTATGGTGATGATCACATGAGCAAATACTTCTGAAGTGCTTGCGACTCTACCTGGCCCAGAGAGGGTGTGAGTGAATGTTGCTGCAGGAACTACCGTTATTATGTGACCTTGGAGGATGCTCCAAGGCAGAGACAGATCTGTGAAGGACGGACATCCTTCAACTGGAAGGATGACCACTCACAGTCAAGTGATTTTCAGGAATCACTAACCTTCACACTTCTGAGGGTTAGAAAAAGATACCCCCTTTCTTGAGACATTCTATTTTCACCTTTGGAAGACGGTCAAATTAACCTGATTTGTTAGAGCAAGACACATTGCTTCCACTTTTGGAAAATTGTCTTAATAAGTATACAGATGTATAATGCCTGCAACCCCTTAGCTGGAATGGTGTTGTGCAATGCACAACCTGCCCATCCATACATGACAGCCCTGCACAGAGGAGGGGAAATGGTCCCCAGGCTGGAGAGTAGAGGAGTGCCCTGCTTCTCTGAGGAAGGTGGGGGAGAGAGAGGGTTGTGGCTAGTCTTCATGGTGCTCTAGGCTGAGCCAGGGAGAGGATGAGGGGCTGCAGCTAAGCTCAGGGCAGAGAGTTCTTCCTGTCAGGGATGTGCGCAAGGCATTTTCCAATGAGGTGACCTGGGTGGGGCGGATTGGGAATCCAGAATTGGGTGTGGAGGTAGCACCTTCTAAGAGTAGATGCCAACTGCTGATTATTGAGGTCATTCACCCCAGCATTCCTCGGGGCCCCATGTGCCCCAGAGACTGGCCTCACAAACTGGGGCCAGTTCACAGTCCATGCTGGCCCCGCCTAGCTTTTGGACCTTGGAGACAGGGTCTGAGCCATGAAGGCCTGGCTCAGTGCCCAAGGGTGAGGCATCCGCCCAGTGAGCTCCTGTCTCCTCCCACTGGGGAAGAGGCTGAGATGGAGGAGGCTGCTGGGAGGTGAGTGGGGGCAGTGGCAGCGGGGTCCCCAAGAGTGAAAGATGGGCGCCGAGGAAAAGAGTGAACATGGGCAGTGGAGGGGGAATCCCCATTTCAGATACGAAGACCACCTCTCGGTGCAGAATCAGGATTCTCTCTTCTCTACAATTTCCAGCCCCTTCCTCATTTTCTACAGTGAGCATCAGTGATGGTCATAGTCAGAAATGCATTTTTTAAATGTTTATCTTTGGAAAGAGCTGCTATTGTGTTACAGGGGGTGACAACAGCCCTTCTAGGAGAATTTTGCAGAGAAAAGGAGGGGCTCCGCCTGGAGGCAGAAACTTGGAAGAACAAGAGACAGACGATGATATGCGGAGGAGGAGGGGAAGAAGGGCGAGGAGAAGGAGGAGGAGGAGCAGGAACAGAAGGAAGAGGAAGAGGAGGAGCAGGAACAGGAGGAACAAGAGGAACAGGAGAAGGACGAAGGCCGGTACTGTCATGCTCTGTGGGTGGAGCCCCTCCCCAGCAGTTCTCTCCACAGGTTTCCCCCAGGACCCACTATGCGGTGATTCTTAATCTCTCAGGGGTCACATCCTTCAGAGAGAACCCGATGAAAGCCATGGGCCTGCTCTCCAGAAGTGTGCACACACACAACAGCAGGAGTCCTGGGGTGCCCGGCCTCCCCCCAGCCCTTTGCACCACGCCCCAGCTCTAAGGCTGCCACCCCCACCCTCCACCCCTGGGCAGGTGGGTGGCCTGGGGTCCTCCCCTTCTCCTGCTGCAGCCCCTGCGCTGCCCGGGCTTGCTCACCTGGAAGGAGTGGAAGAGGTACCAGAAGGCCCAGGCGTTGATGACGTTGTAGTACATGGAGAGGAAGAAGGACACCACCACGCTGGCCACGCCTGCAGGGACAGGACACAGAGGGCGCTGAGGGCCGCCCCTCCCCCCAACACAGACCAGGCAGTGGTGGCCCTGCTGTGCCCACCCTGGGGTGGCAAAACTTCCTTTGGCAGGTTGGTGACCTGGCACCTGCGAGCACTTTCTAAGGCTTAGTTTCTCCCCCATCTCTCTCCCCGTCTTCTGGGACGTGAGGCTGGTGACGTTCTTTTGAGATCTAAGTGCCAGGTGCTGGGCAATGTACTTTATATGCTTCAGGTCCTCACAATGCTGTTGTGAAACGGGTACCGTTATGCCCACTTCACAGAGGAGGAGACTGAGGCACAGCACTTGCCCAAGACCACACAGCTATGAAGTGGCAGAACTAGGATTCAAACCATGTGAGAAGCACTTTGTCACTGATGCCAGACATCATAATTGCTCCTTCCTTGGCTTGCCTGAAGCTGGGTCACTTGTGCCAAACCCTGCCCAGTGGTGTCAGGGAGCAGGCTGTGAGGGGGTATGTCAGGAGCCGAGGGGATGGGGGCTGCCCTAACCTGGTCAGGCCTGCAGGGAACCAGTGAGGGGTTGGGGGCACCCGAAGCAGAGAGAGGGTTGGTAACCAGAGATGTTTAGAGCTGGCCCTCAGCAGCCCTGAGAGCCATTGTGCACATCTCTGCTCAGCCCCACACCCTGGGGCATTGCCTTAGAAGTTGACATTGGTGGCAGTAGTTACACCACTGGTATCCGTAAATGCTACAACCAGGCCTTCCTCCACCCCCACCCACCTGGACAGCCAGCTGTTAAATATTCACCAGAATTCCTGATTGGCATAGACATCTGGTATCTTTCCTATTGCACCACAAATGCTGCGTCAGAGAAGCCCTCTGTGATTGATGACTCGAGCCGATTGTAAAACCACACACCTTCATGTTAAAAATTAACAGCCATTCAAAATGAGGCAGCTGGATCTGGAGATGATTTGTGAGGTCACTGGACACATTTACTCTGTATCTAAGTCACGTGCAAGTTTACATCCTCCTTGCTCCTGAGACATCCCTCAGCTTTCCCGCCTGCCTTTCTGCTGGAGGGTTGAGAGGGACGAGCAGAATGGACCATGGCCATTGCTGGTCAAAGTTCCTCCTGCTCACAGAGGAGCCCTGGCACATGAGGGCTGTGCAGAGCAGGTGAACCATCTCCCCGGTGCCCAGGACACTGGCTCCAAGTAATTCAGGGGAGGCAGGATGGAAGGCTGTGCCCCTCTGGCCATCCACTGAGCCTTGGCTTCTGTGCACTGGAGATATGGATGGTGCCCCACAACCTCTCTGGTGTGATGAAGATTAAATGAGCTCACACACAATACACATAAAGTTAGTAGCAATTAGCAGGGGAGTTTCCAGAATGGTTGCTGGCCAGGACAGAGTTACAGCTGCTTTCCTGGTCAGTTATTTCCCTTTAACAGATGAGCAAACTGAGGCCCAGAGGAGAGAAGCAATGTGGCATCAGTTCCCTGGGGTATGCATCCTCCTTCTCTTACTGTCCCAGGGGTAAGAGATCCAGCCCACATTCTATAGCATCTCCCTCCTGGGCCATCCGCCCACCCCATTCCAGGGCTCTCTCCTGGGCTTCATGCTTGCCCCTTGCTCCAGCAGCTTTACCAGTGGACTCTCCCCTCACCTCCTCCTGCCCAGGATAGAGTCTGAGGGTCCACAGGTGGGAGCGGACTGGAAAGGACCCACTTACCAACGCCACTGAGGTAGGGGCTGATTGTCCTCCAGGCGCCAATGCTGCCCTGCCGCATGCGCTGCCCCACTGCCAGTTCCAGGTACAGGAGCGGCATGCCCTCCACGATGAGCATGACAATGTAGGGCACCAGGAAACTACCTGCGGGTGTCCAGCCAAAACCAGGTCATCAGCGCTGGGCTTTGTAACCCACCCAACGGCTCAGCCAATGTCCTTCCATTCATCCTTTCTTCCCTCAGTCTTTCCACGTGTCCATTCATCCTTCTGCCTTTCCATCCATCCACCTATTTTCCATTCATCCATCCTCCATCCACCATCCTCCATCCAGTCTTCTTTTATCTTTCCTTCAGAATCCGTCTGCCTATCTTTCTACTCATCCTCCATTCTTCCAACATCCACTCTTTTGTCTTCCATCCATCCATCCAACCATCCTTCCATCTTTCTACTCATCCATCTATCCATGGATGGCATGTGGCCAGATCAGTTGTGAAAATCTTTAAATACTTCCATTCTGGGTGGTAGACTGCTGCTGTCCCGAGCCCCGTGACTGCCTTCCTCAACGCCTCCGCCGCCCCAGCCCCTCGGCCAGAAACCCCCATTCCATCTTCTGTTGCAGCAACTGATGGTTGATCAGAGCCCGGACCACTGCATGGTTAAATGTTCTGAACATCACTCCTGAACCTGTCCATCCAGCCGTCCACCTCCACACACTTCCTCTGGGCTTTTCACACAGCCCTGATGGTGCCCCACAGGGGGTGTTATGTTAAACAACCGTTTCACTAAACCTTCCTCTGGGCTGGGCCCTGAGCTGGGTGTGGGGTGGATGTGAGGTTAGTAGCCCTGCTCCTAGCCCACGAGGGATCACGTGGGCAGAGGAGTTTCACCTTCCTTTACAGAGCACCTTCGTTGTGTTTATCCATTTTATACAGTGGCCTTTAGCCTAAAATTTCATTTTAATAAAGGTACTATACCAAAACAAATTTTAAACCCACTGGTTTCCAAGGAGCCACCTGCAGACAAGTGCCCCCATGATAGTGGGGAGCCAGGGGGTGTGACTGGAGCTATGAAAGGCGCCCCCCCCCCCACTGCCAGACACATGGACAAAGGATGGCAGCCTGTTGGGAGGTCCCCCACACCGGCTGTCCCCGCCAGCAGCTGAGCCACTGCTTCTCCGGTTGGTCCCTGCCCCCTCCTCCGCAGCCCCTCGGCCATTCCGCCCTCAGCTCCCGGCTCCTTGGCAGTGGACCTGAAAAAAGTTCACTAGGAGAAGAGGGCAAGACTTCTGATTAAAATAAAACCCTGACCCTACAGATGCAGGGATTAAAGGCTGCTTACAGGAGGAACTGGCTCTGCAAGTATTAGGGTAAACAACACAATACATATACTCATAGAAACATCTGGTATTTACAAAAATGTCTCCATTGTATGTACATGAGGCCTTACAGCCCACTTTTCTCCCTCAACAGGATCGCATGCTCACTCTCTGGACTACCCCAAGCACCTCCACCTGACCCCGTAAGCAGCTGCAGGACATTCCACTGGGAAGATGAGCTCAGAAGCAGAAAGGCCAAGCAGAGCCTCCTGTCCTCCCACCCCAGGCTCCCTCCCCACGGAGAGAAAGGCACCGGCTGTGTGCTCAGGAGCGCGAGCCCCACACCGCCAGGTCTCCATTCGCTCTGCTCACACCGGGGCTACAACAAATCCTGCCCTCTTATTTCTGGGCCCTGTGTTGAAGACGCTGCCGGGCCCTTCCTTGCTCCCTTCCTGCCCAGGAGAAACGTGTTTCAGCCTCTTACCCCAGGTCCTCTCAACAGCAAGGAGTCCAAGAGGCTGTCAGGGGCTCTCACCCACCACCTACCTATCAAGATAGGTAGCGTTGGGACAACCTGCTTGGAGCAAAATTCAAACCCTCACTGGTTATAAGAAAAGCTTATTTTCACCCAAGGTGTTAAACAGTAACCACAGGAGGCCGGAATGGTCCACGGAAGGCTTTCCTCTTTCACAGGGCCTGATGGTCCGCTGCCCACGGGCAGGTCGGAAATCCAAGGCCGGGTGCTCAGATGGGAATGAGGGCTCTTCAGCCCTGCCCTCCAGTGATTCTTTCACCCCTCCCACTGCCCAACCAGCCAGCCAGACACACTGTCCCAGTGGATCTGCTCTACTTTCACTGCCTCGACAAATGATGCCAGAACAAGCGAATATCTATATGCAGAAAAAAATGAACTTCAACCCATACCTCACATTTTATACCTTCCCCCTAAAAAAACCTCAAAATGGATCACAGACCTATTACAACTCAAAACTATAAAACTTCTAGAAGAAAACACAAGAGAAAATCTTCCTGATCTTAAGTTAGGCAAAGATTTCTTAGCTGAAACATCAGAAACATTATCTGTGAAAGAAAATGTTGATATATCTTCATAAAATATTAGACTTCACTTTAAAACTGTGCTCCATAAACAACATTGTCAGGAGAGTAAAAAGACAAGCTACTGGGTGAAAATATTTGCAAAACATGTATGTGACAAAGCCTTTGTATCTAGAATATATATAGAACTCTCAAAACTCAATAATGAGAAAACAAGGAACTCATTTTTAAAATGTACAAAAAATGTGAACAGACATTTCACCAAAGAAAATATGTGGATGGTAAACTAGCATACGAAGATGCTCAGTATTGGTGCTCAGCAGGAAAAGGCACATTCAAACCACAGTAAGATGATGCTACACACTTATTAGAATGGCTAAAACAGGAAATGCTGGCAATTCCACGTGCTGCCGAGGATGTGGAGGGACTCTGCTAGGGGAAGTGTACACTGGTGCAGCCACTCTGTAACACAGTTTGGCAGTTTCTGATGAAGTTAAGCAGACGTTCACTGTACGACCCAGCAATCCCATGCCTAGGTATTTACTCTAGAGAAATAAAAACTTATGTTCACACCAAGACCTACACACGAATGTTTACAGTGTCTGCATTCATGGTTGTCTTAAATTGGAAACAGCCTAACTGACCTTCAGTGAGTGAATGGAGAAATAAACTCTGCTACATCCATACAACAGAATATTACTCAGCTAATAAAAAGGAACAAACTCCTGATTCATGCAACAACATGGGAGAATCTCAAAAGCATTATGCTCAGTGAAAGATGCTGGATTCAAAAGGCTACATACTGTGTAATTCCATTTATATGACATCCCAGAAAAGACAACACTATTGGGACAAAAGACAGACCTACGATTGCTGGGGGCTGGGAGGGGGGTGCTGACTACAATGGATATGATTTTGGTAGTGATAAAACAACTTCATGTATTTGTCACAATTCATAGAACTGTACACCAAAACAAGTGAGTTGTTTTGCATGCAAACATATCACAATAACAGAAAATTGTTTAGTGACCAGTTTGAGAACAAGACCACTGACCAGCCCTCTTCTGACTGAACTGCTCCTCATGCTCCTCTTATGTCACACTCTGCCCTGGCTCTGTATGGGAGACCCTGGCATCAGAGAGAGGCAGACAGAGGCCTGAAAAAGGGCATGTTTGCACCCTTGATGTTGTTGCATCTTGGTGGGGCACAGTGCTGGAGACTAAACACAGCTACACACTCTGCAGCTGCTCCCGGGAAGAGGTGAAGTCTGTTTCCACCCGTGGATCTGGGCTGACCCTGGGGCTTGCTTTGTCCAGTAGGAAGTGGGGAAGAGGGTGCCATGGTGGTTCCAGAGCCCAGGCCTCAAGATAGCTTACAGCTTCGCCTTCATCTTCTTGGAGTGCAGCCCTGAGACCACCATGTATGGAAGCTGGTCCAAGCTACCTGGGATAAAGGGCCGCGTGGAGGAGGGTCCCAGCCAACTCAGCATCAGCTGCCAACATGTGAGTACCTTCCAGCCCAGCCGACCCACCAGCCAATGGAGCCGCTTGAGCCAGGCCAAATGCAACCGGCAGAGAAACACCCAGCCCCTCACAGAAGTGGGAGAAATAAGTTAATTGTTTTAGCCACAACTTTCTTTTCCTTTTTACCTCTTAATACTTCAATATGTATTTCCTAAAAACAAAGACATTCTCTTCCATAATCTCAGTGCATTGAGCAAAATCAGGAAGTCAACATTGATACAGATCTATTATTTTATCTGCAGACCTTACTGGCATTTTACCAATTACTCCACTAATGGCCTTTCCCTGGTCTCAAATCTGGCTCACGATCGCATATGGCATAAGCCATGTCTGTTGGCCTCCTTTAATCTGGGACAGCACCGCACTCTGTCTTTGTCTCTCATGACCTTGACACGCTGGAGAAGCCAGTCGGTTATTCTGTGGAATGTCCCTCATTTGGGGTTTTGGCAGGAACACTAAAGTGAGCCGGGTCTTTGTCCAGAGGCATGTGATGTTGATTTGCCCCATGCTGGGCAACGTTAACTTTGCTCACTAGGTTTGGGGGGGTCTACCTGGTTTCTCTGCTGAGAGCTACTGTTTTCCCCTTTGCAATTACTAAGAGTCTTGTAGGGAGATGTTTCAGGACTAGGTAACCATCCTATTTCTCATCAGACCTTCGCCCACTAGTTTTAGCATCTGCCTGAAACAATTATTATTGCGTTGGTTGCCAAATGGTGATTTTTCTAATCCTATCATTCCTTCTAAGTCCTGACATTTTAGAGTGGTCTGTCATGCAGAAACACACAATGGAGGCACCTCTCCAGCCCTGTGTGGATGGCCCGGTCTAACCCCAACCTAACCTTCATTTTCACCTCCTCCAGAAGTGGAGAGGAGGCTGGACCATCAGCGACAAGGGCTCCTCACAGATGGACGGACGCTGCAGACATCAGCCACTTGGCCAGGCCCCCTCCAATGTGTAGATGAAGCCATGGCTGAGTGTCACACCAGAACCACATGAGGAAGTGCCCTGAGCCGTGGCAAGTGTGACTCAGGGTCCTGGGGGAAGGTGCGGACCTCAGCAGCAGCCTGCCTGTCCTGCCTTTATCAGATCAGAGACGATGCTGGATGGTCTGCGGAGAGAGCCCTGGATGGTCTGTGGAGAGAGTGCTGGATGGTCTGTGGAGAGAGCGCTGGATTAGACCCAGATGTGATCACAGCTACTCCTCCAGAAGTCATCTTTTCTTCTCTGAACTTGATTCCCATCTCTAAGAGGGGTGGGGGGTGGAGACGAGACTGACTTGAGGAGTGTTGTGAGGAGTTAACTGAATACCTGCAGAAAATGCCTGGCACATGCTAGGGGCCCGATAGCTTGGTTGTTACCAGGATTGAACCTAGAAACCTCAGGATGAGCAGCAGATGTGGCCTCTCCCAAGATGCCCTGGCCACATTTTCTGATGGCTGGGACCCGGCATCTTGAGTTCACTTTGCAAATTGAATGTGTTTGGTACTTTACAACCTCTGAAACTCAAGTTCCTGTTCTATTCAGGAGTGCTGTGGAAACCCCATGAGCCAGAGACTGAGCACGCGTGCACACGCACAAGCAAGCAGCGGTGGGGCTGTCCACCGTCCTTCCGTGGACTGAGCTGGTGCAGCTCAGCCCTGGCTGTGTGCTGCCCTGAGGGCTGTGGCTCTAGGGCTGGGCCAAGGCTGGCTCATACTGGCTCACACGTACCTCACACCTCTTCTAGCCCCACATTCCTGGACATGACATTGGTGACCTTAAATCAGCCATAGTGGGAGTGTTTGCATCCTGGTCATCAGCAAATGCTGTAAACTGGGTCCTGCTCCTCCTTCCAAAAGCCAGCTTTTCTACATTAATGGCACCCCACTCCCTGGCTCCCAGGTGCTGGTGGCCTGGTTGGTGGGGGGCAGGGATTCCTCTAAAGTGTGGTCCATGGACCAGCAGCATCCATCGGTATCATTTAAGAGCCTGTCAGAAACACAGAATCCTGCCCTCCCATGCAGGTCTGCAAATCAGAATCTCTAGGGGTGGGGCCAGCAGTCTGTAGTTTATCAAGAGACTTAGGTGGGCAAAATCCGAGACTAATGATCTAATGATCTGAGCACCAGGGAGGAGCAGAAAGGGCTTTGAGGGGAAGCGTCATTGTCCCACTGTCTGGTCAGGTGTCCTCTGATTTCCCCTCTTTCTAGTTCAAATATCATACAGAGAAAACAGGTGAAAAAAAAATCCACATTTCCGTGAGCCACATAACTATTCTCATCCCTCCACGTTTCTTCCACAATTTGAGCCTGTTTATAACAAGGTCAACCGCTGGTGAACTCACTTCCCGCACGTTAGTATCCAGCACGTTTGCATCCCAATTTCATCCTGAACAACCACGGCCCTAGACTTTGACATAGTGGCCAAGACCTGCTGACTTTCTCAAGCAGAGCTTTTGTGCAGTTCCTTCAGCTGCCTTTCCTTTGTTCTAGCACTGACGTGCTGTAAGAGGTGGTTGGTACCTGGAATGTAATCTTCAGAATTAACATTCCTCGGGCTGGCCCGGCCCGCAGAGCAGGAAAGAAACCAGCCTCCCCGGTCATGGGCAGAACCTCATGGAAAGCAGCATGGACCCCTAATCCTTTTTATTCTGGTAAGTATTTTGGCACAGCTTGGCTCTACAGTTGATAAACAAGCTCTTTGTTGGCTGGCAGGGAATGGGGGTGCTGGAAGTCACGGCTCTGTGTAGAGGGAAGTTAGATACCCTTCTGGGGCTTTTCACCATGTGTTTGGTTACCGTCAGGCACAGAACGGGTGTGTAAACATAAAGCACTTACTGTAGCCATTGGGCAGCAAGAGCCTTGTGAAAACCACCAGCATCCCCAGCTCATGAACTCTGCGGCTTTTCATAATAGACCTGGCTCCTTCATCCAGCAAATATTCATTGGGTGCCTCCTCTGACCCCACCACTTCACAGAGATGGGGCTGATGGGGGACAAACTCTAGAACAAAGTGCAGTCCTTCTGACCAGGTGCTGAGAGTGCTCCAGGCTGACAACACATCCCAGATGGCGGAATAGCTTGTGCAAAGTGTGGAGGCAAGGAGTGGGCATTCACTGATGGAGAGTTGTTCAGAATAGCTCTGAGGGCTGGCGGATGAGTGGCAGGAAATAAGGTGGAAATAGGGGCAGGTGTTAGGTGGTCAAGTCCTTACTGAGCGAGGATAAGCTGCTGGGTCTTGGTTCTGTGGACACTTAGGACTGAGAGGGCACCACCCATTCATCCTACATCTGTCCATCCTGGACACATCCATCCATTCATCCACTCACCAATCTGTCCCCTCCCCAGTGTCTATCTGCTAGTCAACCATCACCTATCTACCCATAAGCCTAAGTATACCCTGTACCAGGCACAAGATGTCTTCTTTCTTTCCCTGGGTTCTGAAGGGCTTGCAGTTTCCCTGGCAACTCTGTAGATACAGCTGACCCCTGAATAACACTGGGTTTGAACTGCATGGGTCCACTTATGAGTGGATTTTTTTCAGTAGTACATACCACGTTACTACGATTCCTGGTTGGCTGAATCCATGGATGCAGAACTGCGGATATGGAGGAACGGAAGATACAGAGGGCCAACCACAGGGATTTTCAACTGTGTGGAGGATCAGCTATACTCTGTTTCAGAACTACTCCACCCTACCTGTGTCCATCTGCAGACTATTTGGGTGATGGTGTTGTTAGAAACAAGGAATTAAATAGTCATGTGACAGCAAGTTTCACTAGGCCTGATGTCCGGGAAATGTGTAGTCAGGATAAAGGTACCATGAGTAGGTATGCTGAACATAAAATGATGTGGAAATCTTATGTTGACAAATCTTTCAAAAGTCATTTATGAAGCTGTCAGAGTACACAGGAACACAGGCACTTAACATAATTATGAGGTATATCCGTGTTTCAAATTTCAAAAAAGGAGTCAGAGGATTAAGAATGCACTTTTTAAAAAACTGTACACTAATCTTTTGTCTTTTTTTTTGAGCTGGAGGGGTGAGGGTCAGGAAGCAGCGTTTTAGGTCTTGGCCTTCTTAGCCTTCTTAAATGGATTAAATTTGGTAAATACTTTGCTCTAACATCGTTCATTGTCCTTTATGGTGAAAAAAACCACTTATGCTGATTATAGAAGACATCATACACACACGTACACACACAGTATAAGGTAAGCAAAAATCACCCAGAGTTAACTACTGTTGCATTCCCCCTTGGTTTTTTTTTCATTCTCTTTTCTCTGTGTAGTTTAAAACACAGTTGACCATCCATTTTATAGCGCTTTGAATCTGACTTCCCTCCCTCCACTTAATATACGATATGAAAAAATACTCATGTACATTTTCTACAAACACTAACTTAATGGCTTCCAAGAGCACCGCTGGTGTATGTTCCATAATTTATTGAACCAATTCCCTTTAATTGAGGGCTAAGAAAGTTTCCAATGTTTTGCTCTTATTAAAAGATGGAGGCCATCCTTTTATTGTCTACCTTCTGTCAGAATTCTACCTAAAGGCAGAATTCTAGAAATGGAATAGCTGAAAAAACAATTTTTTTTTAATGCTAAGACTTCACTCTCTGTTGCTGCCTTGCCTTCCAAAAAAAGCACTTGGCCCTCACTTTGGCAAGTCATGAAGGTGTCCCCAGCTCCCTGGAAGGTACAGGAATGCTGTGTGGGTGTGTTGCTGTCTGTCTAGTGAGTGTGCTGTGATGCTTCAGAGGAAAAATTTGTAAAAACCCAAAACAAGCAAAACTGAAATAGAGAGATTAGCATTCCTGCCTATTGTGGTTCCAAACCCCAACCAATCTTTTGATTAAACGTTTAAAGAAATAGTTTAAGATCCTTTTATCCTGAGTTTCAAATCATGCTGCCAGGAGTCTAAGTCTCTGATCTGAAAGTTGTATAACGAGTTTCTGTTGAACGAGACAATTTCCTGCTCACTTTTTACACTTAAATGTAAGGATTACTCACTAGCAGTCATATATTGCCACCTTTCTTCCTCCCGAGGGAGGAAAATAGTGTCCCCCGAGCCTCCTACTGCTCACAGAGAAGAAGCCTGACGGACAATGAAGGGTAACGAGAGTGCGCCGGGGGGCTTGGCCGCACCAGCGATGGGGTTGGGGCTGCAGAGGCTCCGGAAGGCGCTTTGGACAAGAGCTCCCGCTGTGGACTGAGGTGTCCTGGGTCCAGTTCCCAACTCTGTAACTTTGGGCAAGTTTGCTCTCTGAGCCTCAGTTTACTGGGATGCAATATGGGACCAACCCCAGCGCTCACCCCCAGGCCACTCCGCACGGAAGGCGCCGGCGCGGGTCCTGCGGGGACGGCGCAGCCCGGGCGCCCGCACTCACCTCCGCCGTACATCTGGCACAGGTAGGGGAAGCGCCACACGTTGCCCAGGCCCACC